TCGTTCGAATAATCGATTCTGCCCATCTCTGGCATCGCGGGCGCACACGCACACATGGGTGTATAGTTACGTGAATATAAGTACAAGAACGTAATCAGAATTATAACGTGTTATTCAGTGTACTTGTTGCCGCGTGCCTCTCGAGTCTGTTCTTCGCCCCTAGGGAAGGCAGTGCGTAATCGTCTATTTAAAAAGATTTAAAAGGAAAAAACAAAACAAAAAAAAAACACAAAAAAATATAACAGTGCAAAGAAAATAGAGGAAAAGATAAAAGGAAGAAAACGTTTAAAAACACGACGGCTAGCCGCCCTCAGAAGTAACGTGCTATTTTAATTACAGCAGTAACGTGTAACCCCAGGCGTGGTTCACGTGAACGCCGAAAAAGCGTCCTTTTTGTCTGCCTGATGCCGCGTACGTGTGCGTATAAGCGTTTTGTTTTTTTTTTGTTTTTTTTTTTGGGAAAGTTCAGCCCCACGTGGACTCGAATCGAATTTGAGATAGATGGTGTGTGTGAAAAAGGGAGAGAAAGAAAAGAGAAAAAGGTAGAGAGAGAGTGAATGTGACGAGGGATTGCTGGCTGGAGAGAAGGAGATGGAAAGAATCAGTGTGAACGCGTGCGAGTGTGAAAGAGTGAAGGAGCACGACGATAGAGACGTAGAACAAGACTAAATATGTACAAATGTAATAAATTGAATGACGATTACGTTGAATTCACCTATCGATCGTTTATTTACACATTTATTGAGGTGGGTGTCCAATTGTTACTTAACTCTAAGCTTGGCATTAACACAATTGGGTGCATTCAGAAAGTCCATAAAGCCGCAGAGATGGACATTACCTAGATAAAATACATTATTGAAATAAAAAATCGAATAAAGACACTTTATACTTTAGCTTTATTCGATGACTGTCGGATAAAAAAATTTATTCGAAGTAAATGTATTCAATTTAAGTTGCCTTTATTCGTCGGATAACGGATAAAAATATTCATTGGAAGAACATTTATTCGACGGATAAAGTGTCCTGTTATATTTGCAGAGAGTTTCATCCGTTGGATATCTTTCGGATAGTCGGATAGTTATAAAAAAATACGGGTGTTTAAATCCTGTGGATCTCTACCTATTGATTTTTTTTTTAATTATTCAAATATTTATTGTTAGACCCTTTGCAGATCTGCAAAGTTTTGTACAAAAGTATAATATGTGTTTTTCGTATTCAACTAAAAAGTCGTCTATAATAATACACATAGATAAGGTTACAAGTAGTTATTAGGATTATTCTTAGAGTCTAATTTTTTATAATATGGGATCACAGTTTTTAGTGTTTGGATATTAAATTTGCAGGTTGTTACTTCATAGGAATGTGGTTATTATGTGTAGCGCTTTTATATTAGGTTCTCTTAGGAATTTGCGTCTTTTTTTAAATATTGCGCTTTGTGTCTCCACCTACTGATATTGGTTTTAGTATCAGTGACGCCATCGGTGGGAAAATGCCTAAGTTTGTAGTGGAAATAGTTCCCACAATCGATAACTTTATGGCTTTATTTTTTAGGAACATTAGACGGCGCCACCATCAACACGAGAATCCCCGAATCTGACATCTCTGTTTGGTACATGCTTTGCTTGAATTTTAAGGAGATGTAAGTGAGTGTTGTACCTCCAGAAATGTTTTAAACTGGTTTATTTTAGCATATTTTTGTGAATAAATAATTGATCTATAAGATAGGCAGAAATATATAAATAACGAAGATGACAGAAAAATTGCGAAGATACGAGAAAATTGATTTCCTAGGAGAAGGGCAGGTTAGTTTATGCTCAACATCTTTTCTAACGTTGCCGGCATAATAATAAATATTATTCTAGTTCGCCACTGTTTACAAAGCCAAAGATATCGAAACGTCAAAAATTGTTGCTGTTAAAAAGGTATGTGCAGATATTTTTATATTAATGTCGAAATGTCATTCAATCCTCGACTACATGTGAACATTTTATGCATAAAAACATGACTTTAATTCATTTATAATATTGTCAGATCAAAGTTGGAAGTCGCGCGGAAGCTAGGGATGGAATAAATAGAACTGCACTGAGAGAAATCAAATTGTTACAAGAACTGAAACACGATAATGTGATTGGTTTATTAGGTATATAATCGTCTATGAAGCTTGTAAAATTTACAGTTTTCTCTGTGTACTTTTAATCTTCCAACATTAACATTTTAGATGTTTTCGGCTATAAATCGAATGTGTCTTTAGTGTTTGATTTTATGGATACAGATCTGGAAATTATAATAAAAGACAGCAATATTGTCTTAACTTCTGCTAACATTAAATCGTACATGATTCAAACTCTTCAAGGATTAGATTATCTCCACTACAATTGGATACTCCATAGAGACTTGAAACCAAATAATTTACTTGTTAATGGAGAAGGTGTTTTGAAAATTGGTGATTTCGGTTTAGCCAAATTTTTTGGTTCACCAAATAGGTTGAATACACATCAAGTGGTGACAAGGTGGTACAGGTCGCCTGAATTATTGTACGGTGCCAGACTCTATGGAACTGGAATAGATATGTGGGCAATTGGGTGTATATTAGCAGAACTTTTATTACGTGTACCATTTTTACCTGGGGAATCTGATCTGGATCAGCTTACCAGAATATTTCAGGTACCTGAAGTGGAGTATATAGTAAAACATTAATTATTAGAACAAAATATGAGACATATATTAAAAATGATTAAATTATTTGGCTCTGTATTAGTTCAGAAAATCAATGTTTTACTGTAATTGATAAAAAAATTTCGATTAAGAATGCATGTCATGTTGCATTCTCTATATTTGTGATTCTCAGACGTTGGGTACACCCACCGAAGAGACGTGGCCAGGAATGACTGAACTACCAGATTTCATTCAGTTTAAACCGTTTCCTGGAACACCGTTAAAACATATATTTACCGCTGCCGCCGATGATCTGCTAGACTTAATCGCTAGCTTTTTAAACGTGAATCCTTTAGAAAGGTGTACATGCGACCAGGCTCTTCAAATGCCATACTTTAGCAATAAACCAGCGCCAACACCTGGACCTAAGTTACCTCTTCCAACAACCGTGAAACGACAACCAGAGGAGAAACCTAGTCTAAAGAGGAAATTGTTGGAATCAATGGATGGTGCTTCGCTTGCGAAAAGATTACAGTTTTAACTATAAATTAAATTAGAATTAATTGTGAATTATAGAAATCAATTTAATATCATTATGTTTGTTACTATTTTTACGATTTTTACAAATCATAAATGTCATATACAATTTAAAGGAGACTGAGTGAGCGAGAGAGAGAGAGAGAGAGAGAGAGAGGGAAATGTGAATAAATTAATTTATATAAATACATAAATACATAATATTGCAGGTGATATGAAATTGTTAAAAAACGTCAATAAATATATTTACAGTAAAGCTGGAATCATGTACAATAATAACTCAATACTGTATTTTTGTGACGAGACTATTATATAATTAATCAAAATTAAAAATAAAATATTGTTTTGGATATCAAAATATATCTGTTTTGCACATCCTATACTTCACACATACCCAAAGTACACAGTTCATAGTGTACACAGAAAATCGAAAAAGGACGGAAATGTTATAGGTTGAAATAATAATACATTTTTGAAAAATACAACATTATGCTGTAGTACTTTTATTAACTTAGAAACTAGTAAGAAATGTTTCATACGTGAACAATTTCGTAACTGACGAAATATTGATTTTTGATAGCATAAAAGAGGTGACTCGCTAATAACAAATGATTAAAACTGTAATCGCATTTCGCAGCATTTTCTTTTTTTTTTTGCAGCAAGATTAAAATCATTCTGTTTCCATAATAAGTACAAATGTTACCAAATATGTCTCGCTCCTATCAGCGATGTTCCATCGGTACTTTCGTTTATATAAATGATTTTTTGTTGCAATATATCCTCTGTGTAGATAAAAAGAATATATGTTCCTTTGTAACCTCTTCTTAATTTGATGATAATTTTGCATATCCGCGATGAGCTTAAAAAACAGTATTTTACGATTACTTCTCACGACTGACTGTACCTTTTCAGTTTTCGATCAATTTCTAACTAATATTCGTGCATGACTTCAATGTACATGTAACTATTACACATATACATAAACCTAATCAATACTGATGGGTAACAAAAACATAATACAATTTAGTAAAGATACAAATTATATAAATTTTATATTAATGCACATATCAACATGAGTTGGCTCTACCTATGGACTCCTTCAGAATGTATTTCGCTGTAGAGTAAGTTAGAAGAATAGTATAGATCTCGTATTTTAATATATTACATAAAGCTGTAATAAAATTTGTTTATACTGTACGCATAGTTACATTAAAAGCACAACTTAAGACGACATGTGCATTTAAATACTGAAACAACATTTAATATTTTTCTCCATATAGTTCGTTAAATCCTGACGTAGAGATGCAAAGCTGAGGGCTCTATGTAAATAAAACATGACAATTTTATGGTAAGATGTGTTAGAAGATTACTATGTAAAATATGTAATAAAACAGATTTGAATTACGTTATGTGGAAACGGTAAAATTAAATCACGGTATTATTTTAGATTAAGGGCTGACGTACTATTTTTGTTTAATTTGAAAAAATTAAAATAACTATAAGTGGTAGAAAGTAATTAAATAACTTTTTTTTAACGCACGTAATCATCTAAAGCACTTTAGAATAGGTAAATGATAAATTCATTCTATGATATTGTACTGTGGTCCCTCTTATTCAAATTGAACTATAAATAATATCTATGTAACACTGTGTTTAATACGTAATCGATAAACTTTTCTAAGAGTATGTACTAGTAATTGCCAGATTGAAGGTGATGGAGAAAGCAGAACCATCGTTACCATTTTAATCGTCAATTAAAATGACAACATAAACGTGTGACAAACATTTTCGGACTAAACGAATAAAAATATAGCATTCTTTATAATCCGATTAAAAGGAAATTCTACAAACACATATTTGACAAAATTCAATTTCTGAATGGTGTACAAGGTAGTAATACTTTACTATGTTTTTTTTACAACATTAATCTGTCCTTTCGTGCGAGTTATTTACACATTAAAAATAATACACTTAAGAAGTAGATTTTACTGTACACGATATATACTTAAAGCAATATTTAGATTTACAAAATTTATAGTACACAGAGTGTAGTATAAAACCAGAAAACATTATCTAGCGCGATTTACAAAAAGTAAATCGTTCTTTCGTATCGACGTATTCATTGAAAGTACAAATGAAAAACTTCTGTCTATCGTTTGTGACAATGTGTTAATACATAACTGAATATATTTGAGCGTGACATCTGTATAAATTGCAAAGAAATAATTTCGATCGATTGATTAATACATTGCTCGATAACATAAACCACTTAAAGTCACCACCGCTTTTTAAATCGTAACATAATAATCGATAGATTTTATGATTTTTGTGTTTGTACACACTATCTCCCTATCCTGCGTGCACTTTGCAAGGAACATTGTATTCGATAACATTAGCATTTTTATTTTGCCCTTCTGCATGGCCCTACGCGTGTAACATGCTTGTAAAACTTTCCTTAATCCAGTAGGGCTCAAATTTTAGATAGGATGCATCGTTCAATACGTAAAAGTAGGATACATTAGAAATAGTACATAGGACATAGTATCGTGAAAACAAAACAAAAATATCGAAATATACATCCAAATATTAAGGAAACAAAATTTAAACATAATTCGTATAATTTATTCAAAATGGGAGATATCAAATCAAGACGTAGATATTATCAATTACATCTTTATATCTTTTAATTGTTGATATTATTGTCTTATATTAGCATCCCACGAAGAACACGTACTTGAAAATGCTTTAAAGGGTTATTCACTGGACATGAAATGCAATGAAGATTCAACAATTGTACATATCTACGAGTACAATTGTTTTGTCCTTTAAATTATACTATGTCCTAAGCAAATATTTTTAAGCAGTAATTGATGCGCAGTCTATAGAGCACATGCAGCAGACAATTTGCTCTCGCATTTTGTTTCTAGACATTTGATTCAGTATTTAAAGTAACATATGTAACAACTTATGCAACCAACAACGTGTTATAACTACCTTATAATGCTTATCCTCCTTAAATTCTTATTTTTTACATTAAGTCAATATTTACCAAGATCTTTAAACAATATCAGTACATTTCGTTTGGAAATTATCTGATTTTTTAATGCTTCAAACTAAAAAATTAAAAAAAAAAAAAAAAAAAAAAAAAACAATTTTCAGTAACCCAAATAGTCTGTAAAAACTGCATTTTAATACGTACTATTCGAATTATTTTGAATATAAACGCAACATAGTAGGTAATGTCACACCATATTATTTAAAAATCATGGCGATCAGATTCTAGGGCAAGGATGTTATTTGCAAATAAAAATGAAATTATATATCCATTTAGGGATTTAAAATAAGTAATACATACATTATGATATAGCTGTCCGTAATAATAATATCACATCTCCAAATACTACTTAGCAAGAAGTGTTACAAAATAAATGTATATATAAATCAGTTTAGACGAAAAATATAGGCGGTGCATTTTCTAGATAACTAGGATCATTTTTTTGAGTGTAAAGAAGAATATGTTCACAACTTCTCGAATATGAATAGTTTAGCACGGTCCAGTTTGCTTCCGATATTGAAGATGATTTCACAATTTCGTTTTGTAAATATTTGTAAAATTATTCTTCAGTCCATTCATATCATTATTGAAAGTCCAACTTTTATTATACAAAGTTCAGTTGATATCTCAATTCTTAGTTGATAAGTCTCACTCTAGAAACACATAGATTTTATTTTCAAAAAAAAAGAAAAGAAAATAACATTTTCGTAGTAATGTTTTCGATACACTGATGAGAAAACATACGAACTCATTGAAATTATCAAAAATAACTTTTCCGTTTTCTCTTAGACATTTCTGCGTTAGATGTATTACGTAGCATTTATTTCAAAAAGGAGGAGATAAAAACGCAGCAGTCTCTTTGTTTGAATTTTTTCTCTGCATTCATGACTTTGGATCGGTACATATTACGATATAAACGGAGTTTACACATAAATGTTTCTTACTCGAAGAAACTAGAAAATAAACTCGCATAAGAACGATAACAATTAAAGTGTTCAAGACAAACCTTTGCGGTTAACAGGTATCGTACGGGGATATAAGAGATCCTCTCTGAAAATCGGCGAGCATATTAAATTACCCTAATATTCACAATCTCTATAAACAATAAATATAAGCTGCAATGCCCGCAGACACGATATTTTATGTCTCTATCTGATCAAAGCAACGATGTCATAGGCTTATCCTCGTATGATGCTCGCCGAATTCTAGAGAAACCTCTTTACGATCTCACACGGTATCTTTTAACTGCAAAGAATTAACGTACAATCAATAAAGAAGAGAATACAATTGCAGATATAAAGTACGCCATAAACATAAACGAATAATTGCAATGTGAAACACTCTGTGTAGCTTCTTGATTAGGCACAATGTTTGAAAGCAATAAATTCCTATGTCTCTGTTTAAATAAAAAAGTTCTTTGTGGAACACACTTTCCCAATACAGACTATATCTCCCTAGAATTCATTGTAATATTAAAAGTAGAAATACATATTTCATTGTTACTACTGTTTTTACTTTATTATATTATATATATATATATTTATTTATATATATTCAGTAGTCAGTCCAAGGCAAACATTATCCGCAGTAGTACAATATAATATAGCTACTATTTTCGTATCTTTTTAAATTGATCTACCTATATATTACTTTCTTTTAAAAAATGTATACTTAACATTTAATATAATATATATTTATATATATTTATATGTATATGTATATATATATATATATATATATATATATATATATATATACATATACATATACATATATATACATATATATATATATATACATATCTCTTTAAAATATTTACAGTCAATGCTATGATACAGTAATTTTAATTGTTTCTTGTATTCATACTTCATAAAGGCAATTATCATCATAACTATAATCCTTATTTATATATTTATATAGTATATCGTGTAAATATGTTTTTACAGCAACCATGTTCATATTAGGACTGCATATAATACAAGTAGGGATAGTATATGATCTTTTGACACCTCTACACATATCTACACAGGGAGTGTCATGATCATACAAATTATGTTTCATCTCGTTACTGCGTAACCTATTTGATGCCAATTTTCAAATGAAAGGTTCACTTAAACCGTAAAAAAAAGGCTTATAAAAAAAAACCATAAGTCTAAGTAAAGTTGGTTTTTACGTTCTGCTGGACACAGTGAATACCTTAGAAAATTAAGTAGAGATTGAAAAATTAAAAGTATTATTCGAATCTGCAGTCCTTTGATTTTGATCTTCAGTTAAATATAATTGCAATTATTTCAAATGTAGCGTATAAAACGATATCAGTCCACCATCACTGTAGACCTGATTAAACTAACAATTTTATACGCAGTACGCATTGCTAACCTTTATAATTTTTAATATCTTTTCGTGTATCAAGCAAATATGTATAATCATAAATCAACCTGTGCATCTTTATTCATGTGCACTATTCGAGAGTTAGTCAGAGGTCATTATTAGTATGTAGCTGAATAAATTCTTTAAATTTGAGATCGTTTTTCGTTCAAGACTCTTGGTATGTAACATAAATGTTGCACGATAAATTAAAGTAATTTGTTTACACATTTGCCTATATGTTACAAAGTGAACAATTTTACGAAAGTGCCATCAGTTGTTTTTGTTTCTACTTGAAGGGAATTAAATTCAAAGTTCTGCCATTGACCAAGTTTCATAAATTCAAAAGTTAATGAAAACACAGGTAAATGACCATTGACCTAAAAATATATAGGGACAGAGTATTTCTGTTAGAGGAAGGTGATAATAGTGTCAAGGGCGGGGGGGGGGGGGGGATTTATATTGACATCATGGACCTAAGAATCTCTGAAAGGAGTCTAAACTGAGTTGGCGCGGTAAACGATGGGAGATATGCGAGCGGTGTAATGAATATCCTTTGATATCAGCAATGTTCGGTAAACGTCGGTTGTATTTAGGTTTTACGTATGGTTGCAGGCTTAATCATAACGTTTACTAGGAGTTCTCAACGTTTTAAAAAATTCCACGTTCATTGGTCAACCAATTAAGGGTAAAGCCGAGGGTTTTTGAGACAAGCTCACGGAAATAGTCGATGTCGATGTCGATGTTGCCTTCAGGGGCTGTAGCGGTGTTTGTAGCTACAGCACGGGCTTAGCAACCCCGAGGTGCCCCAGCTAGAGGGGGGCCAGCGGGCCTCAATAGATGAGAAATAAGAGATACTGTGAATAGTATTAAAAAAAATGCAGGAGTTATGTAAGACGATGATGAGAAGAATGGAAATAAGCTAGAAATAAGTAAGCAGTAGTGCAATAACTTTGTAGAATAAGTTACGCACTTTAAATAAATGAATGAACGAATGATCTCGATGCCGATGTCCCTCCTACATTCTTAGGTCCAAGGGACAAACATTTTTATGGAGATTGGTTATTTCCGTGAGCTCGGTTCAGACACATTCGACTTTACCTTTGATTAGGTAACAGTTCACCAACGAACGTGGAATTTTTGAAACGTTTAACTGCTCGTAGACATTATGGTTGGCCTACAAGCATACGTAGAAGCCGAATACAAGAGACACCATCGAGGGTTGCCGATGTTGAAAAATTATTCGCCACACCACTCGCACGTCTTCTATCGCACTTTACGCCGCTAACATTCTGTTTAGACTCCGTCCAGCAATTCTTAACACGTTGACTGCCAGACTAATACCCTTGAAAATGTCTACTGTGATTAAATTTTAGTTACGGACTATTGGAAATTGCATAATCAAATATTTATTGTGGTATTTATTTTTATAACTTCATCAAAATTCAAGTATATCATTCAAATTCCATTTCTTTGACACCTAACTTTCAGAATTAATCTTTTTAATTCTTCAGTGACAAGCACTCTCCCCCCCCCCCCCGCCTCAACTGGGCAATGAAAAAATGGGGGAAAGACGACAGCGGACTAAGAGAAATGACGCAGAAAACACAATTGAAGTTTCAGTAAGAGTCTAGAACAATGATTTTGATCTTGTAGAAAATGCATTTTAGTAAAATGATTTTTAACTAACAATAATTTTTGGTGAAGAAAGAAACAGTACTCTTTAGTAGTTACTAGTGTGTAGAATTTCTTACGCAAACCATTAATACTTTATTGTCTTATGAAATTCGATTACTTAAATTTTTGTAAGCATCAATATAAAAAGAGTTGAATCCAATAAGATAGCAAACAGTTTATCATCTACTGCGACGCGTATATGTACACGAAGCTTTCTGCCTGTGGTGTACGATAAGAACAGATTGCATGGAAACGAAACCTGATGCCTAATCGTTTTTAGAAAAAACAGTTCGGTGTTCAACATAAAAATTCGTTTGCAAAAATTCGAGTAACTCTGTTGCAGAACGCTGCTACGTAGTTTAGCAAACCATTAATCCGAAATTCAATAGATGGTGGAAAGACTTACAATATAATGTCCAGATTACAGATTAATAGTATCCAGTGTGTGCGAATTTTTGGATGCATTGTCCTTTGGTGACGTGGTGGCAACACTAATTTGTTTGCTGGTATTGTTCGTAAACGGCATGGCGAACTTAAAATCTGCACCATTTGGTAATTTTCGCATAATCTTCCCGGATGTAATCAGCCTGCCAAAGCCTTCCTGGTGCGCAAAAGCGTATCCGGAACGAAGAGATCGTCGTGTCCGCCTCGTAGACGGAGTACGAAGTATATCTTGACTTTGGCGGGAACGAAGTTGCGCCAACCTCTGCTTAAGCCTAACTCTATCAGACAAAGTTGGCCTAACATCAATGAAGAAGAATCTCCACGACAGTACAGGTATTACCAATATGATACATGAAATGACTGCTGTAAACCAAAACGTTGCTTCAGACATAGCCTGAAATCAAATAAACCACCGTCAGTCTTGGATTTAACGAACATTTAAATATCGTTACAGTTGAGTTGGGCAATAATAAATTAGAAATGATCATTACTTGAATTACGCACTTGCCCAACTCAACGATACAGTAAACTAACTTACCATAGTAAGACTTCCAACGTAGCTACCACCTATGACGAAGTTATAGAAATAGTCTAAAATAAAATACCAAATGAGCGAGCCCCAAACCATAATATGATTAACAATCGTCCAATACGATGTATCAAGGGCTATTTGAACCGTCACGACTATGACTAATATAGTGGCTACGACACTTCCCAGTAGCATGTGATCAGAAAGTACATAGCCCTTTGGTGATACTCCATCCTTATACGTACCTAAAGATATCATTTAAAATTACATAAAATATTGCTCTTAGGACTCGACGAAACGACCGAGTAAATTATTGTAACTTACCATACGGAACTAAAAATAATACGCAACTAGCAAAAAAACCATGTATGGCACTCCAGCAAAATTCCTTTTTGTTAAAAAGTAAATTTTGCAATCCGGGTGCGTAGAGTTTTGGATACAATAAACTATTTTTGTCGTTAACATCTTGATCGAAGATACCAACTGCCATTACAGGCAATGACGTATAAAAGAGATTGTAGACAGAAATGTACATAGGATCGAATACAGTCTGTAAGAAAATATAGATTTGTGATAGTACGCGAGGTAATGTTTGTTAAACAGTAGTTTAAGTGAAACGTTGTCAAATCAGAATTATCGATACGATCACATTTCAATACTCGAACTTTGGAACTTGCTGCTCTACAAAGGAATTTTGAAAATCACATTCGCCTTATACTCATCATTAGTGGATGTAGTTGCTAATAGATAAAAATGAGTTTAGTGGTCTGTGAACATTTAATATTTCCGTTTAAACGTTTTCGCCCACAATGGAGGCCATTTGGAAATTTTACAAAACAAGTTAACGTAATGTATAGACGTGAAAATGGGATCAGTTATTAAACTATAATTACAAATTATGAAAATAAGCCTAGAATAGCTCAAAATATATAATAATTTCAAACAACAGTCATCGTGGTTATTGCAGGAACACTTATAGAAAGTAACATTAATCAGCGGTGTGTTGATGCAATAAAATCTGTTCTTGTATTAATAAAACTATTTACATGATACAGAAACATTTAAAGGAGAATAATAAGTACTCACAGGCTACCCGACACGAGGTATTTCTATCGACCGGTATATTATCGCTAAATGTTTAAAGTTGTCGATAATAACAAGACCATACCTGTGCGCTGAATCCACAGAAAAAGGCAAACCAGATGTGGCATAGCGTAAACGCAAAATTCTTGTAAAAAAAATATCTAAGAAACTTGCTCATTCTATAATACGACCATCTGCCATGAACGAGGAGCAATCTTTCCAAAAACCTAAATTGTCCTATCGAGTAATCGGATGCCAATACAGCTTGTAAACCTTCTTGACCACTGATGCCAACACCAATATGAGCTGTTTTTATCATCGAAACATCGTTAGCTCCATCACCGATTGCCAAAGTCACCGCATTTTTATTTTTCTTGATTAATTCGACAACCATTGCTTTTTGTAAGGGTGTCACGCGACAGCATATCACAGCTTTGCCTAAAAGGTAATAACCCGTAATGTTAAATCGCTAATCGAGACGAAAGAAGAAGAGAAACATTTCACGAGTAACTCACACTGGCTCGATACATCGAGAAAAAGTTGTTCAAGTTGTGGATGCAATGCATGAACTAAGGAATGCCCATTAATAACTACCGCAAATCCTGTTGCTTGTTCCATTTCGTGTTCATCTTGTTCATCTCTGCTAGGATTGTATTCAGTATCACTGCTGTATATAGAAAATGCAAAGTTTAGATGAAAAGAATTTTCTTTCGAGCGGCGATACGAATTACATTAACACTTCAACTTCTTAGTCGGGATTCGCTTCTGTTAAATTTACGAAAAATGTTTGAGACGCAAGATTTCGGTTCGATGTAACGAGTGACAAAGTATAATATTTCATTTCACTTGCATAATAAAAAGGGAGATTCGAATGGTTTTCTCTGTATACAAAAATGATGCGTATTAATTATAAACAATACACACAGTGCACTGTATTATGGACTACTGATATAATAACGTGACATAAGCACCATTCTCGTTGTGTTATTTTCATTATTACTAAGATTAATTATAAGCATACAGAAAGAGAAGGAGTGAGTATCAAGCACATGGTAATTATCATTATTCGTTTGGACTATCAACGTTAATATAGAATCATGGGGTATTGAAAAAAAAGTATAAAACAAAAAAAAATCGTAATATTCGAAAAAAAGGCTAATACCTAAGCTACTATATTGAACAGTCTACATTAAAAATGGAATAATCGACAGGCATGAGATAAATGGTTTTAACATTCTCTCAAGTATAAAAAAAAAGAAGAAATCGAGAATATTTTGTGAAACTTTAACATTTCCATGTATATAAATATGTTAAAATGTGCATGCAAATGTAAGTTGGACTGCATACTTGGATATCTCGATAAAATTTAATTCGATTCAAATTCGAAGAAACTGATGTTAACCTATGCAGAACAAATCGAATTAAAACGAGGAAAGGTATAATATAACTTATCGATACCTTTTTACAGGCTTGTAAAATGCATGCCAATCTATATTTGAATTATTTATATGTATATATATTCATCGTAAGAACATTACGAACAATTAAGTTTGTGTTCAGCAACACGACTTATATAACGCCATACACGCTAATATTTTGAATTTTGAATATAATTATCGGAACATAATGCCGGAAACATAGAACTGGATTTGAAATATTTAAAAATTTTTAGGCATAACCAGACAAGAAAAGCGTTACACAGAACATGATGCCACATTCAATACGTAAGAGAAACTTGTAAAATAAATGCGTTAATTAGTCAGAAATAGGTATGGAAAAGGTTAATGACTGTACTCCGTCTCTTTCATGTGCCTGACCTTTCCTTGTCCCACCTGAATGTGACAACGGAGAGCGTTGGCCGATTTTGATGACTGGAGGTTGTTTTGATAGTTTCCAGGTACCGCGATAATTGATTTTCGACGCCATCGTAGGTAGTAGAATCCACTATAAAGACATCTGTAAGGTCGTCTGTTAACAACTGGCAGGAATAGCCAATATTGATAGCCGTTTCTGTGTAGGGTAATGATATACAATTTCATTAACTGTACAATATTATACTACGCATGATTAACCCTTTGCAGTCGGATGCAGCCGAATGTCTCCTCTGAGGAGACATCGTAAGAACAGGCAAACTTTATTAGTGATTACGCAGGATAAATTTACGGGAGCATGAAATTTGTAAATGTATCTGATTCCTTGAAGGCTTCTATTCAAATATCACGAAAAGTCAAATAAATATGTGTATTAAGATATATATAACAAATATGAATAATTTACACCTTAAATTATTTTGGATGACATGGTGCAATTTGTGAAGATAAACAAGGTAGCCTAAGATTGCAATTTATAAGATGGAAACTATCAATGCATATCTATGTTTCATCTAAATGTCTAAAGATTCATATAAGATCGAGTATCGTTACAGTAAACTACATGCTATATAAGTTACATTATGTAATGCGACATGATTCCTGTTTGCACATTCTGTAACGAAACGGACTCCGTGTGCAAAAGGTTAACAAACGTACCGCGTACAATTTCATAGCGTTTCCGAAAAATGGGCAAAATTCTCATCTAGATGCAAATTTAAAATAACGAATGAAATAAAAATCGAATAGAATCAGAATTTCAATTATGGAATTAAATATTTTACAACGAATAAGTAAACATTAAGCTGTTCGATCCATGAAACCATCACGATTAAAGCGATACATGTTGGTTTCATTGGTTCTCTATTATTCGAATAAAATTTTGCTCATTTCCGACGTTCGCGCATATTTTTACCTTGTTTGTCACCAGTTAATACCCAGATCTTAATACCAGCGAGAGCTAAATTAGCGATAGTTTGAGGTACGCCGTCCTGTAACTTATCTTCGATGGCAGTAGCGCCCAGTAACGTCATATCCTTCTCGATTTCCTCGTAAATCGCATCCAACTTGTCGTCTCTGTTTTCCTGACTCAAGGCAGCTTCTTGGTGACGTTGTTTCCAATCATTGAAAAATTGTTCATCCAGATCTCTGACCGAAAGGCACAATGTTCTCAAGCCCTCGCCCGCGAATTTGTTGAGATGTTCCAATGTTTTCGCCATCATGTCTTCGCTGCCTTTTTTTAATCGTTCGTATATAACGTTATCCGCTCCTTTGCAATATAGCCTGAGCTGTCCGTCCTTCCTCAATATTACGGACATTCTCTTCCTAACGTTGTTGAAATCGAGGATGCAAAGCAGCTCGTATATCTCGCGTTTTCCCATCACTTCGATCGTTATACTATTCGGAGATCTTTCTTTGAATACGAAACCGAAGTTTCTAGCGGCAGATACGAGGGCAGCCTCGTCCGGCGACTGTGCTTGATATTCTAGCTTGCCATTCTTTTCTTCTGGCATAACGGTATGACAAAGCGCCAATAATCGAAAGAAACTATGAACATCTTCGTTGTTCCGTTTCACGGCTTCGAGGAGAGCGGTGTCGTAGAACTTGAATTCCGGCTCGTAATCCTTGTTGAACGAAAAATCCAACGGCGGTACTGTCTGCGAACATACATCGAGCGTTACTCGACGGTCCGTTTCCAGTTTGTATCATAGAGAGACGTTAATACGACACACGAGAGACAGTATGTGGAAATGAAAGTACTAGAACTAAAAGTAAGTACCTTGCCTCCGTGTAAATAGATTTGTCGTAAGTCAGCAGGCACATGAGATGTTACAAAAATTTATAATTCCTTGAAGCGCCGAGAAAATTAATTTCTCAGAACTAAGCTGTTCGGAAATGCTTCAATCTATTTACAGACAAGAGTGAAATACTATGCGGCGTGCATTTGATTCGATGAAGAGCATAGAAGAAAGGGTGTGAAGCGGAAGTATACATCGATGCGTGTTTACGAACATTCATTGAACATTTGAAGATAATATCTAATCGTTTATAATAGCGAAGCATAGAGGTTCGGATGTACAAATGAGAGCAGACGTAATACACAAAATTTTCTTCGTTTGTAGAAGATGTGTGTTAATTATTAACATGCGTACTGAAAGTTTGCGTGGAACCATCAGACTGCCATTGACGCCTGGTTCTGGAATTATACTGGTTATCCTGTCCACATGTTCCAGTAGACGTACGTTTGGACCACTTATTGGTGTATAAACTTGAACAAACTCTTGTCCATTTTTCCATCGCATCGTAGGTGTTTGGGCAGCTTTGTCCGTCTACATGCAGCACACACATGCTAAGTGATGTACATGAAAACTTATGCAAAATATGGCCAAACTGTGAAATGATTCAATTGTATCTATTTTGTTATTAAGAAAGAAATCCCGAAACGAAAGAATCAATGTATTCTTCACATGTATCGTTTTGATTTTATTCCGCATTAAAATTATTTCTCTAGCAATGCATTCTTTAAACTAATCTATTTAAATACTTCTTGTACATTTGTTGCGTATAACATTGTATAGTCCTTTTTTTTTTTTTTTTTTTTAATTATTTGGGTCATTTATTACCGAAGATGATCTGAAGAATTTAGTAAAACTATGCTGATATCATTATTTATTTACATCTACGGTATTCAAAGAACGAGCGTATGATAACGTATTCTTTCTTGATAACAAACGCGAAATGAATGAATCTGATGCAAAGAAATCTAACGATTGTTGATTATTCGATTCTATTTAACAGAAATATCTGTGACTTAAAAGTAAAACGAAAAGTATGTATTTAAGTGAAAATTGTTTACAGTAATTTTTTAATGTATAATTCGCTGATAATTCATTATTCAAGTGAATAATATACTACCAGAGTCTATTGTTGTTTCTCAACGAAAAGTCAAAGTTAAGAAAATAATGGCTACATTACGGTCAGTGAAAATGTAACTGTGTCTAAGTTACGTATGTTAACATTACCAGCGATATCTGGACAAAATGCTAATTTTGCTTTTAAACATTTTTTCATTTGCAATTTCGAAAGATGGAACGCATCAGAGAATTAATTAATAGAGGCACGGGAGTTTCGGGAACGTAAGCGTGTTCCCAATATAAATACATATGTAACTATTACTCGTTTTTTAAAAAAAATAATCAGTTATCTGGACATGATGGAGAGAGATCAAATGTTATCGATGCAGTGAACATTGTAATCACGATAAAAATCCGTTGCAGTAACAACTGAGAACTTTACTTAAACATAAAATCGTACGCTTACAAAACATTAAAAGCTAGAAAAAAGACAATGGATATTTATTGTACAGCAAACGGACTAATAATAACGTACCCCATCATCAGCATCGAGTCTGGTTACAAATAAAGTGATGAACAGACTCACCTCGCTCAAATCGACGACTTCCCCGGTAACTTCATCGATAACGTCCCCGTAACATTTGCCCGCCACAGAACACTTGTTAAAAGTCATAATATTCTGCGTGAGGGTTCCGGTTTTATCGGAAAATATATACTCTATTTGCCCCAACTCTTCGTTTAACGTAGTAGTCCTTGCTTTAGCGTGTGTATTCGTAGGTGCGTAGTACATCTCTTCATCCCAATTAATCAAAAACGACTGAACGAATCTGATAACTTCCACACTCACATATAAACTGATTGGCACCACTGTGTTCAATACGATAGCATAAGAAAAGAACACAAGTAGAGCGATCACTGTGGCACCGCCCATGGGCTCGCTAGGCACCAACGAGTCCCAGGGTAGATACACTTGGAAATAACGGCCCACTAGGCTTTCCCAAATACCACAGCCGATCATGCAGAACAAACACATAGAAAGTAAAAAGCACACTATCCCGATGATGAGAAAATTCAGCAGCCTATCTATAGAGGTCCTCTTAAATTTGGTCTTCCCTGAGTTTTGCATCAATTTGGTATCCTTGCCTGCAAAGATGACCACACCATAGCACCATTGCGTGTTCCTCAGCACGCAACCCCGTAATATAATTTTGTCGTTGTCCAATGCGTATCTGCAACGAGAACGAAACAACGATGTTAAAATCTAAAATTATTTGAAACAGGTGTCCGGAACTCCTTCAGATTGAGAGATCACACGATACTTTGTGATTATTCGTAATGTAAGGCTATCAGCTATACACTTTTCGAAGTAGGAAACAATCTACTCTTATTTCTCATTTATTTAAGACCAGCTGCGCACCGCGGTTTCACCCGCGTTGAATATTATTCCTATTCTATATCACGTTCGTGATTGTATTGTTGTATTGTAGCGTTTATGTAATTAACTTGATGTAACGTTGAGATAAATTTTTAAATGCAAACTTTATCTTCATAAAATTTCCCAGATGATAAAATGATTCTTTTTTTATGAAGATTAATATATTATACCTGATAAGTACCCTTAAAGTTCACCTTATAATTTTCAATTCATTCTTAACAACGAGAAAAACGTTATTATGGTTTAAATATAAAAGCTAGATACATCCAAAAGCGTGTTTAGGTTTTAGCAACGTGCAAAAAACCCATGCATGAGCTTTAAAAAGCCATGATTTCGAAATCACAGACACTTCAATTTTATTTATATATGTAGATAAATACTTTATACTGTTTGAAGTACTGAGATAAGAAATCAGCTATTTAAAAAGTTATAAAAATGACCGAAAATGCATACTTACTTTCGCCCTTTCCACGTAATAGTACCATCAAATTTATTTAACAAATTATTAGGAGTTTCGCAAACAATCTCCCCATCAAATTGACCAATCAATTCGTGGTTGTCCATCATCTCGGCAGTTTCAGTTAAACACTGCCGACACTTCAAATTCGTCTCCCTATAACAATCAATAAATCACATTGCTACATTATTACTACCTTTGATGATTATTAAGTATCCAAAATATTGGGTTGTCTGAAAAGTCCACGTCGATTTTTGCTACAGGTCGGAATATATCGGAACCGTTGAAAACAAATAACATGAATATCCATTAAAGGTGGAAAGGCTGTGGAACAAAATGGTACCTATGTAAGCCAATAAATATATATCAAAATTCAAACGTGCCTTTGAATTTTTCTTAAAATTTGCCACGAACTTTCTGGACAACCCAATGATATTTGTAAAAAGAATACCGACCCATCTAATTCAGCAGTTTCAATGTAACAAAGACCGTTTGGCTCACTAGTAGATAAAAGAAGGACATCAGCAGCAACGAATTGATCGTTCTCCATTCTAATTACATCGCCTACTTGAACTTGCGACCATTTCTCCTCCCGGAGACTAGTCCCTCGCAAAGTCTGCGATTTCCGATTGTTCACTTGCGAATCGCTGCTGTGCCGTTGCTAAAAACCATTTGATACGATCGAAAATGTTTCACGAGCAACGATCTAAAAACTTTTGTTTGTTGCTCGGGTGCTTCGTAATTCATAGTATAATTGTACGACTTCCTCCTCTAACAGGAAGTTATGAACATGAATTAGACTTTTAGATAAAATTCATAACATGCGCAACCAGAAAACCTTCAGTTTCGATTTGTTTAACACGTTCACTCCGTTGTGTTTTCTCGTCATGAGACGGCGCGGTGGTACACGCCATCTGATAGACACGCGAGCGTGAGCCACCGGTGGTACACGCCGGCGTGAACGTGTTAAAGAACCAAAGCTTTCCACAGAAAAACTTGACTCTACACTTTCGATTCTCTTCTAGTTAAGGAAACACTCTCCGGTTGTACCAGGAATCACGGAACTCTTTGTGCACGGAGCTGTTGTATAATTTTTCTATACTCACAAAATCGTCGTAAGCATCTTTGATGGCAGTGAGCATGAGCACCCCTATAAGGGGTATGGCTGTAGTGATGGGGGTCAAGGAGGAGATAGCGGGGATCATCTGAAGCACCAGCAGGCATAGGAAGTAAAAGTTAGCGAGCCGCTGAAATTGCTCGAATAAATTTAATGGTAGGAACGTCAGAACCGAATACTTGGACGTCTTGATGTAGTTGTTCTGGAAAAAAGAAGAGAAATATGTTTTCTCATCGCCAGAAACATTTCTCAGGCCTTAACTATCGCGCGCCGATAGGTAACGGAAGCTACGGAAACGTATTCGAAATCTTACCGCATAATTAAACTGTGAGTTGAACTCGCGGTTATTGGCGCGAATTCTCCTCTCCGTTTCTGAAAGAAGAAAAAAACGTTATTGCGTTGCGATAATGAGGAGATTAAAAAGCAATATACACTAGTTCGCACGAGAACGAAACGCAATCGATGATTCTCATTACCCAATTTCCTCAAATTACATTTTTTCACGGTCATTTCTTTTGTTCGATCGTCTTTTTTATTCCTGCGAATACCTAATACCTTACTTAACGTGTACATCTCGACAGACCAATTCAACAAATTTACATTGGAAGGTAATTAGAACGCATCCACAAAAGACACCGGAAGTGGCAATTAAGTATTACGCGCAAAGGAAGCGACGCGCAGTATCACTAGGAACTAAATAGCAACACAACTAAATAACACTGCGTGACCATTGTTGCGAGACGATAATGAATGGAAAAATAACAAGTGAACACTGTAATTTTCCAGGCTTCGCAAGGAATGATGCGAACTCGCATTTTATACTCTTCGAGTCGATCACGAAAATATCATGAAATAAAAGTACAGACGCGTACACGTATTTATAACGACATTAAAAATTAACGTCGTTACAAGAACAAAAACCGACTTGTTTACGTCGCGTGTACCCTTAAAATCAGATAAATACTGCCGTGTAAAGCCAACTCATTCGCACAAATGTGACCGAACGAGTTACGCGTAGAAAATTGCATTCTGCAAATAAAATGAATCACAAAATTATGTAGACATGTCACGAGTGCACTGATGTGCCAGTTTTTCTCCCAACGGTCGTACGTTATCGCAACAGTTTCATCTAAATGGATACTAAAATCCGCAAACGCTGCAACCTTGCGCTGCTACCATTGACATTATCTGATCACAACCGTCGACGTAAATTTCCGACACAATTATGTGGTCTTTTTGCGCGAATAACAAGCGGGTTTTCAGGGTATAATGGAATACAACTGTGGGACTTTCACAGTAGAAGTTGTTGCAACTGGAACTATTAAAAGGCCTTCTGACGTAACCGTGATCTTTTCGAAAATGATTCTTACGTTTCGTCAGCGGCTGGTTTCACATTCCAAAGGAAATATTTGTAAATATACACGAAGAGTTTTAATTTATTAATACCCAGCTCATTTCTTATCGGTTAAGAAATAAAATTTATTGTAATGTTGGTACTTCTCCCTTGAAAATTGTTGATCGAAATTGACGATACTTATGATTGTTCTGAAGAACAAACAGTTATAATTGGACTGTGTATTTTATTTATAAGAAATTTGAATGTGCAAGGCAGTATGAACCGGATACAGTATACAATAACATGAAAGAGTTCATATTATAATATTTACACAATAACAACTTCACCAGGTTATAACTTTATACCGGTTCGACTTACGAGATTTTCACAAATGTCTCTTTTTGTAGAGCACACGATTTCCTATAGGAATATACCATCTCGTAATGTTTCAGTTATTTCGCTCTAAAAATACAAAAGTCAGAATGCAACAGGTTTTCTTTCCTCTAGATTTTACGTAGAAGAATTCGGTTGGGGTATTAAGAATCAAGATACAGAGCTGGAATTTTTATGGAATTTGTTCTTAGTCATTTCGAAGTATCTAAAACCCTGCGAGTATTAAAATTCGAAAGTCACCCTTCAAGAGCCACCCTAGCGGACATACAAAACAATAAGTCTTGTAACGCGATTGTCTTGAACTGGCGAGGACTTACATATCGAAATGAAATGTTTGCTCTGAGAAGTCTTCCCTAAAAACGTAAGGAATGTCTCGTTGGCGACGATAGACTCACCACTGGAGAAAAAGGATGTGCTACGGCCGATGCACTCGGTAGCGGGCGGCGAATTCGGCGGCGCCGAAGATGAAGAGGACGCAGCGGTGGCCGATCGGTACCTAGTGCCTTTCCAGATCACCAGTTTACCAAGAACCGTGAGCAAAGATTCCCGTAGGGTGTTGTGGCGGCTGGCGCCGCCCAAGCTGCTGGACGAGTCTCGTTTCGAGCATTCGCCAACCGCCTCCACCTCGTCCGAGGACGAAGGCAGGTTCACCACCGTGTGCGAGTGTTGATTGTCGTCCGGCGAACCCTGCGGTAGATGATGCAGCTGCAGCTGCTGCTTGTTCCGCGTTTTCCGACGTTTCTTCTTTTTCTTCCGCGCGGTGGCGTTTTCCTCGTCGTTGCACACCGACGCCGCGGTCGTTGATCCTTTCCGGCTACCTTCCGCGTCCGATTTCGTCGTGGTGCACGTCGCCGAGACTTTGTCGGCCTCGTCGCAGTCCTTCACCTTTGATCGTCACACGACAGCATTGCGTTACAAGTATCGCGATTAAGGAATTAACGATTGGTCGAGGTCACGCCGTTCGATACGACCGATGCGCGGTCCACGTGGTTCCCTGCGCTCGTTTTTCTTTCGTTTTCCGAACATCCATTCAAGGAAGAGGATTGATAAATAGAAATTAAGGTTTTCAAGATTGAACATCTTTTACTTTTGGGTGGTATAATGAGAACATCGGTGCTGTTTGAGAGGCACACTTGAAACATTAACCCTTTGCATTCGAGAGGTGACTGTCAGTCACCATTAGGTTTCACGCAGCAAATCTACAATACCTAATGTTTCTTTAGGTTTAATTTCTTTGGAGCTCGAAGTTTCAATCAAATGATTGCTGGCGAGGTAAAGGTGACCTTATTTTCAAATCTAAATAGCTTAGAATTCATGGCAATAGAATGCTAAGAAACATCTCGAGTTGCTGGTAGATACCCGAAAAAAAGGCCTCCAGTGCAAAGGGTTAAGAGTTAATATAATAAAAAAATCCTACTTATTTCGCTAGATTGCGGATTGGCGAGTCTGCCCCCACCGATTTTGAAAATGCTATTTCAAAAAAGACGCGTTTAATGTTTCTGTTACGCTGATGGGCACCTCTGCTTCTGAAGTTAGACCTCGAGATTGTTTTACGAACAACCGAATAAAATCGACAAAGTTATAACAATTTAAATAAGGAGTCGCGTGCGTGAAAAGCCGGGCTTATTATGCCACCGCAAATAGTAGACGGCGGTAAGTGGCGTCGCGTGGATGTCGATGTAAAGCTTCGCGAGTTCTCTCTCGCGAACCTTCTCTTAATGATAAGGTGCAAGAGGTAATTCGTCCCGTATACCAAGATTTGTCGACGAATGATTTATTGGAAAGATGTCACGGCTGTCACACGCAAAACTGTAATGAAAGCTTCAATTATAGATGCATGCTCCGAAACATGTCCATTGTGAATCAGAAATTATTGAAATTGCATCCGATTCAGCAGCGGCAATTATTAATGGTGACTTCGTCTCTCGAATGGCAGTATATTGGCAATTTTTGTACCTTTTTGGAGGGAAAATATGGATTCTGCATTCCAACAAATTAATACGGATTATAATTCAGCCACAGTTGTTGGTTCAAAGACATTTTTGATGGTCTGTGAATAGACATAGTGAAGGCACGAGTCTAAATTTTGTCTGTGTGAAGCAGACAGCTTACGTTGTGAAAGCTCATAAATAATTAAGAGCTCTGATTTCATTCTCTATAATAGTTTTATAATTCCTGATCAATTAAAATAACAGTTCTATCAATTAGAACTATTGAAAATGAAGTAAAAACTCTTGATTATTTGTGAGCTTCCACAGAGTGAGCTGCCAGCCTCACACAGAGTAGAATTCAAGTTATAAAAACTGTAAAGCGTTGTTAAGGTGGTTTTGTCAAAAATGATAACAGTTCAGCTCGTCTCGTAACTTTGAAAACTTAAAATTTACATCTTAATGCACATTTGTGTGAAATGTGGGTTCAATGTACCGTTTAGTTTGCTAGATATATTCACTTGAATTTCGTGATTTTTGGTCGCATTTGACAGAAGACTTGTGGGAGCCGACGAAAAAGAAGGAATTTTGTATGATACTTTTGACTGCAAAACAATTTGTACGATACAAATCGAAACCAAAAATGAATGAAAAGTAAATTAATAAGTGTAGAGTAACATATTTCAGTTTCGGCAAACTGTCCGTTTAGTACCAGAGTAATATGCGTTAGAAAAAGAGATCGAGTACGAAATTTTTCCATGCAGACTTCTGTCTCGGGAACGTGGCAAAGTCGCAAATACACATGGCCGTTGCGCGATATTTTTGAAAAAGAGCGAGCGCTTCAAGATTCCAAAACATAACAATTAAAAATTGTTTAGTCTGGTTAAACCTGACGAAAATTGAAATGCAAAGTTGCTGTGTGCTCGATTCACAATTACTACGTTGGATAAAATAATACTTGAAAAACTAATTGCAACTGTAATAGTATCAATTACTACTTTTTTCTATTAAAAATCATAATCAAATAATAATTTAAGAATTTTATTATAGATAATATGTCGTTATTAATACTTTCTCTATTTGAATTTTGTTTTCACTAGTACAGTTAGGATAGAACCACCTTAAGTAACGAACAAAATCACGAATAAAAATTAAGAAAGATCCAGCTTATACTTTCTTTAAAAAAAAAAAAAAAAATTCTCAAAGGCGACCCATTTTTCGGAGCACTGAAGTGAGAAGACTCCTTTTCATGCTTGCACTCATCCGAACAAGATGTCTAAGGGCTTTCACAGCCCGAATTCTTACGATTCTTCGTACGGCAGATATTGTTTGAGGTATCTGGATCCGAATCGCGTTCCTTTCTTTGTCCCTTTCTCCTCGGTAGAACAACGCATGAAAACACCAAAACTTTTAAAAAAGAAGGGAGGTAGATAATAATAATACAGGTAAAACAATTACTGATACTATCTACTATAAAGATGGCTGCTATAGAAGCATCGAATACCTTCGTAATATTATATTAGAAGAGAGTGAAGAAATTACTGTCAGATATATATAGTAATTGAGGGGTGTGCTGCAATCAGTAGGCAGCTCCATTTTTTATGGTTTTCAAGTTAGAACATAATCGCGGATTTAAAAAATTCCTTTTTTTTCGTGATGCAATAAGGAGACATGTGTTTGAAAGAAAATATTGTTCTCTTTATTCGAAAAATTCCTTAAATTTCAGGTGTTTTTATCAAATATTAATCCCCCCCCCCCCCCACCCCAACAGTCTGAAAAGGAAGAATAGAATCCGGAATGACATAATTGCATAATTAGGTTCCCATGCTACGATATGAAAAGGAAAAGCGAAAGAAAATTTCAAAAATCTGAATTTCAAAACGTTCTCTTTAATTTCCCAAAAATTTGACAAAATGGTGTTGCTTCTCCTTATTGATTCACACCCTTCAATGTCAGATAGATTTGACAATTCTACTCCATAGAGGATGTTTTCTAACGAAATTTAATTTGAAGAAAAGTTCAATTTTTCCAAATTTAAGCGTTCTGTACATAATAATTCTAGGTGAAAAGATCTATCCTGTAAAAAATGAGGATCTTATTGTCGAAGTCTTAATCTTTATCAAGCAAGTATTAGAAAGAGTATCATCTATTGATCAGCGATGAATGCAGATTCCCTTCCTAGCGTACAACTACTAAGCGACAAGGAGAAGACGCAGTTCTCAGATGGAGTCGAGATACGTTCTTCTTACACCTTACGGTATCTCTTGGAACAGATCTTTTCAGCTCCTAACAATAGCCGTAATATTGACGAAACGTCAGAACATTCTTTCAGGAGGACACGGCTCTACGAATTCTATTTTCCTCGATATTTGTTCGGTGTTGAAGAGAAGGAAAAACAAGCTGACGATGCACACCTATCACGTCTAGTCTGTCCAAAGGAAATGGAATCTAGAGTGCACAGTTGATAGAGGCGTATTGCTTTTCAAATAGTTCCTTTTGAGTTCGCGTATCATTTAACAGTGACTCCACGTGTAAATTGTAATGCAAAGTGGAAAACGGCTTTTGGTGTTTCGCAAAATTTCGATATTAAGACGAAAAATTTATTTAATTATGACATACAGGGATTTCCAAAAAGGGCTTTAGGGGTACGAGGGTTTAACTGATTTACAATTCATGATATTAACATCTCGACGGACAATTTTTAAATGAATTTTTGTTGCTCTAAAGAAATACATACAAACCAAAGCAATCTTTATCTGTAAATCGATGTTATTTTTCATATATTTTTTAATAATAAGATGTACCGCTCATAAATAGTATAAGACATTCTGGAGCTGGAACAATCTATTCCAGAAGAAATGATTTTATTCTTATGGGCATACCTTGCACTCTAACAGTTTAAAACTTTCTATTCGCTTCACGCAGCATTAGTTAAATAAAACAGTCGATTATTTCTATTGTGCCATTAGCTCGTGCGTTTTCTATTCGCTCTATACTTAAATTCATCACAAGTGGGAATATACTAATATGTGTTTCAAAATAGTATTATTTTCCTTTCAGAAATATTACAAATTCAAGAGTTATAATCAGACTGCGAGTTTTTATGCAAAATAACATCTTTGAAACTTACCTACAACTATTGAACCTAAACAGAAATGGTCCTCAGGGGCTGTAGCGTGAAAATATACAGCTACGGTACAAGTACTAAACTCGTGACAAAACAACAGACGTGTACAAAAGGCAAGACTAACGTAAATGTAATGTACAGAGTTACGAGAATTGTCAAGAAGAATAGAAATAATTGTGATGTATGGATTCAGTGCAATAACTGAAATGACAGTTACCCAATTAAAAAAAAACCAAGCAAGCAATAAATAGAAATGTACCTTTCGCTACAAATATTACGATACGAATTTCCTATAAATGTATAAAGATCATAAAAGAATATTTAAGATTAAGAGGAGTCAGACTAAATATACACTCCTAATACAGATTGAGACATCAGCAACGGAGGTTGAATTCATTTGAGTTCTGCTAAAAATATGCCTTCCTGGGTAAGCAAACACTATGGAGAATGCGGTCAGTAGCAAGGTCTACGCATTTCTTTACGTCAAAGAGCTAAAATTTGCATTCAAATGGGAACAAATTGCGCAGAACATCTGTTGCAGGGGTCACGCAAAAACCTTCCATACTTCAATAACCATTAGTTTTAGCACGTGCAAATAACGCTCCTCCAAACCATCCCTCTTAATTTACACAATTTATTCATTAAAAGGTAGAGAATAATTTACGTACGTTCTAAAATATACAGTACTTGCCATTTTTTTCACTTCTATGCACACAGTACTTAGACAACTTAATATGTTATTAAAAAATGCTTGAATTTCGAATAACCCAGAGTGGTCACCGCGTATATATTCGTGCAAAAGAATGGCAACGCCACAATTTTGTAATTTA